AGGGTGAAACTTTTTGTCTTTGGCTTTAATTTGCAACTAGGGTCTATAGGCTATTGATGGAGAAGCTGAATTTGTTTGCATCTGTGGTTCCTAAGATGAACAAAATTCTTCTACCCTCACCCATGCCTTTGTCGTTACTATATGAAGAGAGTCATATTTCACTATCATTCTTTTGCAGCTTTAGTTATTCAATAAAACTGTGATTGTTTGTAAAAGTACTTTTATCCCAAACAGTATGCAAAAGTGAGAAACACGTCAGTTGTTAATAAGAAGTCCATAATGAAAATTCTCCTCCACGTGCATAAGATGTTGATGAATCAAGTAGTTCAAAATATCTGATATCTATGTGGGGTTAAGTACAGCTGAATGTATGAGTAAAAAACAAAATTCTGTTTGTGAAGTATTTTTTTATTCACAATAATTAGAGTATTTGATTTAGTTATCAACAAAATCATGACATATCTCACAGGCTTTACTCATTTAGGTCGATCACGAGACTCATAATTTTATTATATAAAACTATAAGATTAAAATTGACTGTACATATTGTTTCTCTTTAATTATCGGTCTTCATGTTATCTATATTAAAAATCTCACGTGATCTTTAGAATGGCTGTAGGAAAATGAAAGTTGCAATTAAAGAAATAATATAAACCATTAATTTTAATTTAATGTTATAATTAAATATTTTTATTTTGCTTACGATCACAAGTTAAATTTAGGGTTATAGTGAGACTTGGGAATTTTAAATTCCAACATTAGATTAAAATTATTTATTTGGACGGCTTCTTTAATACAATAAATATGAAATATATACATATATGTGAATTTGGTCTAATTTAATTCTACAAAGTTAATTTATGAAATAAAAATTGTATTTTACTTAACCCTTATATATTCATGTTGTAATTTATGTTATATTGTGAGTCTGTATATATATTTACTATTTTTTTTTAATCGAGACAGATTTTTTTAATACACCTTTTCACGTTTAAATGTTCATCATTATTAGACTTAATATATAGATAATATAATAAGTTTCTATTTCTCATTATGAATTTAAGATAAATTTTGCTATCATGTTAGATTATGAGTTTGAAATTAACTTAATTATATAAAATTAATTTATGAAAATAATGATTACTCTCACTTATTTATTTATATATATATATATGTATATATATATTATTTAATTAGAAATCACAATTAAAGTTACCTTTTCTTACATAATTGTTTAATAAGTAATGTATATTTTCATTTTATTCTTGATTGTTCAAATATGATCTATGGATATATATTTATAATTCTCAAAATAAAAAAATACTCAGATAAATGATTAATTATAATCTAAACCATTATATTATCTTTAAATAGTAAAAATTAAAAGATAAATACACATAATTTTCTTAAACAATAATATAATTTACAGGTCTTATATATGTATATATATAATTTTGTCAATTCAATTTGAAAATTAATTAATTTTTCAATAAAAAAATTTATTATCATATTTTTTTTATGAAATATCTTCTCTCCATTGATAAACTTGACTTGGATAATTATATATTACTTTATTTTCTATTTTTTATAACTTTTTTTTTTCATTTTTCGTTTTTTTATCCTATGATGTCAATTATCATATATTTATTTTCTCCTTTCCACTTTTCTCATCTTTTTAGTTATACATACACCCAAAGTGTACATTTACAAAAACTCCTAAAAATTACCACATACTAGCTAGCTTTCAAAAGTTGAAGTAGTTGACAACGTGGATTTGCATGCATGCCACTCTTGAAACCTCTAAGTCTCGCAGTATGGAGATCAAACGGTTCTCATCAAAGGCATGCAGACCCAGGAAGTGATGAAAGAAAGTTCTCACATAGTAGAGCTAGACAAGCTTTCAATCCGCTCCCCATCTTCCCCATGCCATTCACTCAGTGTCCTTGAAACCCACGAAACACCTGTCCCTGCATGCGTTTGCGTTTACACAACCTCATGAGTACGTGTGTAGTGTAGTGTAGTGAGAGAGAGAGAGGTCTCACTCCCGTGTCCAGACACTCGCACTCGAATTCAGTTGAACCATTTTGGCATTGTCCGTGGAAATGCCACCAATGGTAACTCGAAAGTCGAAACCTTAACGAGGTGCAAGGCAACACGTGATTGGGAGCAGGGCGTGAGTGTGCGTTGCCAAAGTATCTTACGTCAATATGGGAGAGCTTTGGGTAGTGTGTCCAGAATGAAGAAACTACTTTATTTGGCTTTCAAATACATTGGCTTGGCTTCATGACCCTGGCAGTTGTAACGTTGTTGCTTTCTTTGGGACATTCAATATTATTGCTTAGGTCATCCACCATTTGACCATGTCTTTACTCCAATACTTTTCACTTTCACTTTCCAAGCCATCTACGTATTTAATAAGTTATATATATATATATATATATTTAATTTTTATTATTACCGTTGTAAATCGTTATTTTTTTTATGCATTTAAAAAAAAACTTTACATTCTATATATATTTTGGAAAGGTGGAAACGGATACACGTCGCAACCGATAGGAAATAAAGAGAGTAATTAAAAAAAAAAATGAGTAGAAGTAAAATGGAAGAAAAATTGAGTATCAAATAATATTTATTTCTGAGTGACCACTCTCTTATCTATCATAAGTAGAATTTTTTATTTATTTTTAAATATAAAAAAATTTAATTACTTTTATTTCATTTAATAGTATTTTCTTTAAAATAATTATTTTTTAATGTATGAAATTCTCAGTTGTACTATTTTTTTTTTGCATTTATAAGAAAGAGAATTTAGGAAGAATATTATGAAATTATTAAAATTTAATGTAGATAACTAATTTTTTTAATATGCATAAAATTAGTTTTTTTTGTTTATAATAAAGAACAGTAAAAGTATATTTTAGAAAATAATGTGTTTTTGACTTTTTTTTAACCATATTATTGGCACAAAAGATTTACTGTCTTTGTCGATGAGTAATTTTTGTCAAAAAAATCTGAGTGACCACTTTTAAAGAATCTTCTTTCTTAACCACGTTTCCATACATAAGATTCGAATTCAATATCTTATTTAAAAGGACTAAGTTCAATACTATTTGAACCAACCACATGTTGTTGTTAGCAATTTGATAAACAATATATATTTTTATTTAGTTAAAAAGTTAATTGTATTTAATTGGGTTAGATTTTAAAATTGATTAGATGTTACATAGTTTACAGTCCTAGTTTTACTGATAAAAAAATTACTTATATATCTTATTTTTTGAAATGTATGTGTGGAAGGAAGAAAGAGAAAAAAAAAATAAATAAAAGAAGAGAGATAATTGCAGAAAACTTAAAGGAAGAGAGAGATAGAGAAAAAAATAATAATAATAAAGAGAAACCGATAGACGTTATAACTTATAACTAATGTGATAGATAATGAAGAGAAAAAAATAGGGAAAAAATGAGTAAGGGACAGAAAAAAAAAAAAAAAAAAACGATAGACGTTATAACTAATGTGACAGAGAGCGAAGGGAGAATATAATAGGAAAAAAAATGAGTTGAACAGAAATAAAGAAATATTTGTATATTCATCTACTGTATTTTAGAAAATAATATGTTGTTAACACTTCTATTAAATATTATATATTTTTATTTATTTAAATTGTTAAATGATTTTATATCTTTTGGTTTGGGATGACAAAAATTTCGGTATTTGTAGATATTTACGGATATAATTTGTCACAAATAATAAATAAATAGTCTAATATATATCCGCTTAACCAGTTTATGAACAAAATGGAACATATATGATAGTATTATATTATTTAAATATTTATATTTTTATCTTATATTTTTATATTATCTTTAATTTTTCAAAAAAATAATCACTAATTACAAGTTAAAAATTAATATCAATTATTTATCTTTAATATTTTAATATATTTAATATTAAATATAAATTTAAAGTTATTTATAATATTTTTTATTTTTAAAACAATTCACAAATATTTATAGATATTTGTAGATATTTATAAAATTTGCAAATAAACGTATAGATATGAGATGAGTATCGGACGAATTTTTATTTGATGAGGTGAGTACAAATATCCTACTATTTATTCTTATAGGGCTCCATTGTCATCCCTACTTTCGATCATTCATGAATTATTTTTTTTATAGGTCTTATAAATTGTTATCTATAATGACTCTTATTATAAATAATAAATTAATTTTTTAATTTTAATTATGAGTAGTAATCATTTATTTTTAAAATCACTAAATGTTGAATTAATTACTTTTATATTTTTATTTATTATGTATTTATTCATAATTAAGATTATATATATATATATATATATGTGCGAGAGAGACAGAGATATTTAGAATATAAGTTGAATCTAAGATAGAATTAATTAAAGTAATTATATTAATTAGTTTTTTGGTGTAATTTATTATATATTATTTATAATTATGATCGAAGGTAGTATCATTTAAAATTGAAACTTTTTTAATAATTATTTTCACATTTAAACTTAAGTGAAAGTAATTTTTATACTCATACTGTAAAAAAAATAAATTTTCCCTTAGTGAATTATATTTGTATAGCTTGGTTCACCTCTGCTAATACTATTTATATATTGGTACGTAGTTCCTGAATTGTATTTATAATAATAAAGGTGATTCTTTTCCTTAAGAGACAAAGAATGTCTGGAAAAGACCCAAGGAATGTCTAAAGAAAATGATATCACAAGGACCTCTGATGCAACGGCCATTTCACTTTTTAACCTTTCATTTTCACCCAATCATGAAGGTATTTTTGAACAAATTTTGGTTTCTCAGTTTCCGTGTCTCAAGTTTTCCTTTTATCCATCAAACCTCTCTAGGACTAAATTAAACTGACCCTTGGAAGAGAGGGTAACAAAAGCTGCACAAAAGGACAAGCCTTTCTGCCACACTCTCGCTTAGTATTTATTCTCTTTTGTTTCTTCACAGACCACCACCTTCTCTTCAGTCTTCACCCCCTCAAGTCTCAACAACACAACTCAATGAAGGCTGAGAATGAGAGTTCTCGCAGAGGGTCCCCAGCTTCAACCATTTCTTCCTCTTCCAATGTTGTTGACAACAACCCTTCTCACTCATCTCACTCGAGGGCCACTCGTCGTCGTTTTGCTTCTCATCAGCTTCCTGAGATAAGCCTCAAAACGCCTATGGTTAGGCCTTATGTTCGATCCAAAATGCCTAGGCTTCGTTGGACACCAGATCTCCATCGTTGCTTCGTGCATGCAGTTCAAAGACTAGGAGGAGAAGACAGTAAGCTCTATTAATTATATTTACATATATATCCTTTTCGTTTTCAAATATCCTGTTTAAGCCACGGCTCAATTGCCCTGTCGGTCTCTAAATGTTAACACTTTTTCTTTGTCACTCAACCATGATTTGGTCAAGTTGAATAGATGAGTGAGATTTTACTTTATGAAAAAATGACTTTTCTATTTAACTCAATCATTATTGGGTCGAATTAAGTCTATCATATGAATTAAATTGATTGTTAAATATGAACACTCTTATTTTATGAAAAAATTATTATTATTTTTTATTTAACTCAACCATAATTAGGTTAGGCCAGGTCCATCAAACGACCGACCACTAAATGTGAATGTTTTTATATTGTAAAGAATTAATCTTTTATTTGACTCAACCACACATTTAGATTGGATTAGGTCTATCACTAAATATCAATGTTTTCATTTTAATCAAAGTTAGACTATCTTATATTTTAATCTTGTCGTCGTTGTTGTAATTTTATTTATATAAAAAAGGCTTTAATTTTTAATGTTGTTGATATATTGATTTGGATTTACAGGGGCCACACCAAAGTTGATTTTACAGCTCATGAATGTAAAGGGGCTTACTATATCTCATGTCAAAAGCCATCTTCAGGTACTCTTTTTTCCACAACCACGAATAAAGTTATGGGGGTAAAAAAGGCCTTATCAGTTCACTTCTAGTTTCTCATTCTTTATTTATCTTTAAAATAGTAATAAAAATTCATCATAAAGAATTCAAGTCCTTGATAATTCCTTGTTAGTTTGAAAGTTTCAAAATGTTGGCCTATTCACAGATGTACAGGAGCATGAGGCACGAGCAGATGAGTGAAGGTATATAATTGTACTGTACATACATCAGTTTACTTAATTATGTGCATGTTCTCATGTCACAGATGTATATATGCATCTCCTATATGGAAGAAATAGGTAGCTGTAGACAACATTAGACATTTTGTTTGGTACAATAGAGGAAATTAGATCTGTAAACACTGAAAAGAAGATATATCTATATATATGCACCAAGAAAATAAAGGAACCAACCAGGGTTAGTGGACGTCACCTTACAGGTTGATTCCTTTTATCGTCACCAAGAAAATGAAAGTAACGTCAAATATTCTTCAGGATTTTGTTCCTAGAAAATTAACTTTTAGTGTTGGGTACTTGTACGCATTTTATTTTGATGAAGTAGAAGATAAAGAAAAGAAAGTTTTTCATGAGGCATAATATTTTATTATTATTATTTATTTACTAGGTGCAAAGAAGAATGATATGGCACCAGATTTGCTAGCTCCAACATTCTCGACTCTTGGCCCAAGGTACGGCCACCAGAATCCTCGCCAAAGAAGCTGCACCCAAGACCTTGTTCCTATCCAACCTCAATGGTATTTCTTTTTATTATCGTTCCTCTGTTTTTCACAGTGCGAATATTTTTTTTTTTTAACTTTATAATTTGCGTTATATTTGTAGAATTCTTTTTTAACTAGAGAAAACTGTAGGACATTTTACATCAGGCTTAGGCTCCTCCTATCCTTATAAAAATAAATATAGTTAAATGGAGTATGGGTAGTTTTCCTTATTATTTCGGTAAATATTTATTTTGTATCCATTTTTATATTTATCCAAGTATTTGTTGAATGAATGTTTAAATATTTTTAATATTCATGAATATTTACAATATTTACAGGTATTTATTAAAAAATTTAAAAATATTTAATAAGATATTTAACCATACATTTTAATTATTTGTAACAATTTTTTTTTTAAATTATAAAAATTTGCATAAATTTTTTTGAAGATTATAACTAAAATTTAAATAAAATCTATATAATTATTTTTTTAAGATTATAAAATTAAAATTCAAATATTTTTTATAATTATATTAATAATAATAAGTGAATTTAAAAATTAAATTTAAATGTTTACTCATATAAATTAAAATTTTAAAT